GGGCACTCAGAGCACCAACAGAACAACAAAAAGAAAAAAAAAAAAAAAAAAGTAAACAAAATCTAAGAAGAAAATCTAAGGAAAAAAAATATAAAACGAAATCTCTAAAAAAAAAAAGGAAAAACCCTTACCTCTGAGAAAAACGGTCGCCCGTTTCCAGGGACGACTGTCTGCTGCGCTGGGGCTAAGAGCCCCAGTCACTTCGAAGTGCGCCAGGTGGCGCCATACTTAGCATTTTTTTTTTTTTTTTTGCTTGTTTAAAAAAAGAAAAAAAATGGAACATTTTTCGATATATGCGTGTCATCCTCACGCAGGGGCCACTTCGATCCGCGTGCGGCAGATCTCAGCCGCCCGATCTTGAGGATCGCGCGGCCGAGATCGTCCGCGCCCAACTGCTTTGGGCTGCTCCAAAAGGAGCTTTACCCAGTAGCCTAGCATGTCAGATTCGTTCCCGGTATCTGCCGGGTGAGAGTTCGGTATGGTAACCTACTGGGCTAGCTCCTATCACGACAGTGATAGGAGCAACTCTCCTATAAGAAGAGTTTGGCCCAACCAATGTCCCCTCGTTCCGCGGCCTTGCAGGCCCTGCGTGCCCATAGCCTTGCAGACCCGGCCTGCCTGCCTGTCTGTGGGCCTGCCGGCCCCGCCAACTCACGGCCCTGCACGCCCAGTTGGTCGTGTGACCTTGGCATCGGCCTATTAACCCCCTGGCTCGACGTCAAGCCCCGCGACCCTAGAATTAAACTCTCCTTCCTATTCCCCCTGCATCGCGGGTTTATACCCGGCGCACGCCTCTTTTTAGCTCACTTAGGCCCTGAATCGTGCGGCTTAATAGTCGCGCGACATTATTTTAGGTAGACTAGGTCTAACTTTAGTTTTTCCATGCCCGCACACTACTGCGGCTTCGTTGAGAACTGCGGACGACAGTGCGTACCGCCAACCCCCGCTGTCTTGAACGGACGTCGAAGACGTCTTACGTCGACAACGTCAGGCTTTAAGTCTTTCAGTTATAAGGTTGGCCTGAATAAACTTTGGCAACGTCAGTCTCATCATATTCCTCAATGACAAAAGTCGGACAGTGTCTGACCTTGAAAAACTCGGGCGAAAACCCTCACAGGCGTTTCTGTCATGACAACCTTCCCCGCCCCCATTAAGCAACGTCCCCGTCGCTTACCATAAGGGAAGTTCTTATAAGACCTCAGCGAATACATCATATAATCACAGTACCTCTGGAATTAACCCAGATTTTACATACTTATACACGATAAGCGATGTTTCCATCGTTTGTCTCCCTTTCCTTTTATAATTTTCCGGATGCTCTTCATGAAAGTCTCCGTGCAGACTTCATTACCATCAATGCAAATGACTTATTTTCAAGCCTTTAATAAACAACGGCTTACTTTCAAGCCTTTAGCACAGAGGCCTACTTTCAAGCCTCGTAATTCTTTCGAACCTTCCTTTGAAAGCACTTTCCTTCAGTCACGAGTTGGAATGGGGTCAGAAATAACCTCTGACAGACTTTTCCCCGGAATCTAGAATCCACCGTCGACCGTCGGCGTTACCCAGCCTAAGGAGTTACAAGAACCTTTTAGAAGAATGATCTCAGCATCATCCCACTGGCGGCCGCTCATCTTCCCTTTTGTCTCTCATAGATGGGTCAGGCTTATCCCCCTGATGGGACTCTCTTCAGGCTATAACCCCCTGTCTAGGTCTCCTCGGGCTTAACCCCCTGCGGGTCCTTCGTCATACAACACATACTGCCAAGAATTTAACCTGGGTCTCTCATGTTCATGGGGGTGCATTCGTAATACCTCAACAGGTCTCTCGCTGTCAGGAGTTTTAACCCGGGCTCCCCACGAAACACAAGGGTACTCACACTATACTACAACACGTGCCGACACCATCCCAGAGAGAAATCACCCTTTCCAAAAGTCCTTGTCCAGTCTGGCTAATTCCCACTCCAACTTAATTGTCATGCACGATTTATCTCCCACATGTATTGTGAATGCGTCGAGGAGTGGTGTAATCCATAGAGGATAACATCTCGACGTCAAGCCCCGCTTTAAACTTGAGCCTCACCACTTTCCCTCCGATTCCAGTGTCATACATTTGTTAGTACCCTACTTGAAAGGTTGAACTACCCCTCCCTTATGACCTAAGCTGATCAGACTCGACCATAAAGTTGAGGCGACCCCATTCGCCACAAAACAAAAGGTGATCAATCTTTTCCTCATGGCGAGCAGTAATCGCCACCCTCACAAACGAGGTTCCAACAAACATATTACCACCTTCCTCCCTTTCGACGATAGTGTGACCATTCTCCTCGAAAGGAGAGATGACAACATCCCGCTATAGAACAGGAACAAAGTTCCGGCGCAGGCCTCACCACCGTCTACGGGGCTCACAACATTAGGATTCCTCATTGCATGACAATCGAAACAATACCAAGTTATAAGGCATGGCAAGCAATTGAATCACGTCTGACGAATAACAAATGTTAATCCAGCCAGACATATGATTCAAGTACACATCATCTCCTTAGACATGCACTCACAAAAATCTCACATTCATAACCACATACACGGAGTTTCATAGGAATTCCAGGCTTTTCATTCGTTCATATATGTGATGAATACTTTAACAATATAAACATCCATCAGCTATTTCACAAGATTCTTCTTGCAATGAACATCCAACCATGATAAAAATCTCATAAAGTCCTTTGGTATCACTCTTTTACTTTACAACCAGTATCCAATACCTTTTATGCATAAAGACAATTGTGAGAAAAATATCATAGTCATCATATATTTGTCTGTGGCACTAAGGCACAAATCCATTATTACAAAACAACAGGAATCACAATCCCATTGATAACCTCTCAATCTCAATGCTTTTATTAATACTTTACAACTTCCTTGGTTAGCTTAAGACAAAAGCCAGAATCAGCTGAACCACAATATGAAAGCAAGAAGGATTACCAAAATTGATGCCACTAATTTCCTCCTCTACCCTTCCTTTCTAAAAGTTTTCACTAAACTCTTGGGATAAACTTCCGTAGATGTGCACCCGATACCCAATTTCTATCCCGAGATCCATCCAACTCATCTATTTCGTACGCCCCATGCTCTGTTTTCCTAGTGATCCGATATGGTCCTAGCCACCGACCGTCTAGTTTTCTGGACCACTGTTTTTCTAGCGACATATCATACAACAAGACGATGTCTTCCACTTCCAACGGCTCTTTTCGGACACGTGGCCTTTTGTCCCATCTTTCCTTGTCATCTTGCCTGCTTTCAGAAGTAGAGACAGCCGCATCCTCAATCCGTTTTTCAGTCGCCATGATCTGTCTTGCCCTCAATTCCAATAAATCTTTCGTCGAAAGTTTCGTTTCCACGTCTTGTTTTTGCCAAGTGGTTAGAAAACTCTTAATTGGAAAAGTTGCATGTCGTCCAAACCATAATGTGACGGGAGCATACCCGGTTGTTCGTTTGATGGTAACATTCTCAACAAAAAAGACTGCTCTCAAATAAATTGGCCATCTTGATGGTTCCCCCTTGCACCATTTAGCCAACAAGTTAGACAAGGTGGCATGTCCTCGTTCCACGGGTGCATTAGCCTAGGGATGTGCTCTCGTCGTATAGCTGAAACTTACCCCAAGCCTTTTGAAAAGCGTTTGCACCTCCTTTGCTCGAAACTCGTCTCCTCGATCCATAACAATCTCTTGAATAAATGGATAACGAAGGTAATATTCCTCAATGCACTCTGCCAAGACTGACCCAGTACGTTCGCGAATGGCACAACCATCAACGAACCCAGTCAAATTGTCCCTAGCATCGAAGATATACCTGTACCCATTTATCCTAGGTGGCATTACCAGGAGATCCAAATGCACCACTGCGCCCGGTTCTGCCACATAACGTGGATTTAGAGGCTCGAGGTGGTAGATGTTAGACCTCTGTTGACAAGGGAAACAAGATTTACAAAAGTCGATCACCATCTTGCTCATCCCTTCCCAGAAATAAAGGCGTTGGATTTTTTTCAAAGTCACCCGCGCAGATCTGTGTCCGCCGGCTACCCCATCATGCAGAGCAGCAATCACATCCAACTGTCTGGAGCTTCCGCATACCACCCTCTTTGGGACACCATCAGTAGCCTTCTTAAAGAGATGACCGTCCCGAAAAATGAATCATTTGCTTTTCCCTCGCACAACCGGATCAACCTCACTTTCGCCCAATTCCCCATTCAACCACATGCGTATTTTCTTATATCCCCCTTCGTACTCCTTTTCCTTAAACGCTTCTTTGACCTCACCGCCTCCTTCCTCTGTATTCATTAACCTCAGGCGATCCTCGTGAACCAACAAATTCATGATATATGACATCCTTCCAACGATCTGGAAAACATCATCAACCCGTGTATGGCCCTGTTCAATCGTTAGCGGATCAAGCATAAGGTCGACGTCACCGGTGAAAGCCAGCCTCATCATTTCCTCTGCGGTCTGCTCGCCCTATGGATCCTCTTCGATGAAAGGTTCCTCCACCACGAGTTTTGGAAGTACCTCAAGAAAGGCAGGAGCATTCCATATCGGTTTTCCATGCCGAGTGGCTGCATCAGTCAGGTAGGCAAGAGTGTTAATACTCAATCGCGCCTCCTCTTCCTTCAGAAAGGCATCGACTGGAACTGATTCTTCCGCCTGATCCGCCTGTGGGTCCCATTCAACCCGACTCAGCCCATCAGCACGATTCTGACTTCCCGAAATCCGCTCAATTTCGAAGTCAAACATCCAAATATAAGTCAACCATCGTGCAATGGTGGGATCAGCAGGTGAATAATTCCTTAAGGATTAAGCCAATGCAGTCGGATCCACCCGCAGGATGAAGCGTCTACCGAACACATAGTTCCGAAAGATACGGAAACAGTGAAGTACGACCAAGGTTTCCTTCTTGAAATGAGAATAGTTCCTCTCAGCAGCATTCAGAGTCCTGCTCTCAAATCTGAGAGGTTTTTCTTGCCCCTCAGCATCCTTCTGAATCAAGACCTTTCCTAGGGCTGTGGGCCCCGCATCAGTCTCAATAACAAAAGAACGCTTTTCATCATCGTCGAAAAAAGGAACTCCAAGGATCAATCCGCCCTCACGGAACTCAGTCTTTATGTCTTCCACGGCCGCTTGCTGCTTCGGACCCCATCCCCACTTCTGGCCTTTGCGCACAAGCTTTCGCAAGTGCTCCACTCTGGCGGCAAACCTGCGGATGAAGATGCGCCAAAATCCACAGGTTCCGAGGAAACTTTGCACATCCGTGATTGACTTGAAAGGGGTCGGCCATTCCAAAATTTTATTAGTCTTCTTCGCATCCGGCCGGCGACCTTTCTCATCGCAAAGGAATCCCAAGATCACGGCTCTCTTCATACAATGTCGAGACTTAATCCCACTAGCTATGAGATTAAACTCTTTCAACCTCTTAAGAACTTTCACCACATCATTGATATGTTCCCAGACAAATCGGCGAATGCCTGGCAACACCTCCACCAGGTCTTTCGTATGACACCCTGGGATAGCCAAGTCGTCAATATACGGCGAAGTTATGTTAGGACAATAAGGCTGCATAACCCTCGTCATATATCTCTGAACAATGGCAACGACATTTGTCCACCCCTGCAGTGCCATACACATATGGATCAACCCGCGAGGAGTATGCATCGCCATCTTGGGCCGATCCGCAGTGTAAATCGAGAATTGATCATACCCAGAATATAAATCGATGAGGGTAATGATAGACCTTCCTGCACAAGATTCTGACAGTAGGTCTGCATATGGAAGTCCTTCTGCATCTCGCACTGTCACCGAATTCAGCTTTTGGAGGTCCTGAATCCATCGCAGAGTACCATTCGGTTTGATGAAACAGAACCATTGAGATGCATACGGCCCGTAAGAATAATCTGCAACCTTTGTCCGGATCTTTCCATCGAGGTATGCGACCACCTTACGGTGATCCTCCCGGTTCGGATAACGTGGCCCTCTTACATTCCATGGCTCATGTGGTACAGTATGAACTCTGATCATCAGGATTTTATCGACATCCAGCCTTCCTCGCTCATCATCATCAAACGCATAGGAGAGATGTTCCTCCCTCAATATATCGATGATGTATCCCTTTTCCTGCTCAGTAAGGAGGTCCTCCTCCCCTATGATCATACTTTCCACTCTTTCTTTGGTTAACCGACATGGCCCCTTTTCACCTCTCTCTTTCATTTCTCTGATCCACTCACGCTCCTCACGATAATAGACTTCCTCCTCTTGAGTGATCAGAATAGGCACCGGCTTCGCCTTCACGCCTACTTTCTTGTACTTACATTTGGTGCCGGTGTCAAGCCTTCGTCCTCTAAAAATGTCGAGTGGAGGGCAATTCCTGACTTTCTCCCTTATTCCCTTCCGACTGGGAGTAAACAAGGTGCATAGTTCCTGTGCTTCCGGTGTCCGTGATGATTTCCGTCAAGGCTTGCACCACATTTGGATCGATCGCCGCATGTGTCGACACGAAATCGATTGCCTGCCCAATATCAGGCAGGGTCAGCGAGAACTCACGAGGATTCGGCTCCTCCCCTAGCAATTCCTTCTCCCTTCTCAACTTTTTTGACTCCGGAAAGCTATAGGACTCCAGGTTCAGCCGGTTCCGCGAGCAATAGGGTCCAGTGTTCGCACACTTGACCACTTCGTAATAATCGCAGACAGGATCGCAAAGAATTACAAACATGGTTCCATCATGCTTGTTAATGATGATGCTTTCCGACCGACATAAGAATGCCCTTCCGAGCAGCACCTCGTGTTCCACTCTAGGTAACACATAAAAGTAAGAACGGACCTTAACTTTTTCGACCGTGACGAGAACGTCACTGGCTGTTCCGCAGAATGAAGTTGATCCGCTAACTCCCACCAAGAACCCATAGTCATCTCGATTGATCTTCAACCCAGCTTCGATGGTATGGCGCTCACGAATGATGTTCATCTCGGCTCCATCATCCACAAGTGCCGAGTACTCCTGCCGTCCAATCTGGACCTTCATATGGCCGGTCGACACACTTCGCCAATCCATCTTTGTCCCAGGCGGGGACCAGTTAGCCTCCGGCGAAATGACTTCGCCGAGCTTAACAGTCATGACTCTCTTACGAGTCATCCGCTGTTTAAACTCTTCTCAAATTTTCGACGATACCGCCAAAATTTCCTTCAGCGTGACCAAGTCGCGCTGACTTTCCAGAATCTTATTGACAAGTTGCTCGATATCGACCCCCTGCTCCACGGGGATATCGACCCCCTGCTCCACGGGGATCAAATAAATATTCTTCTTCTCGCTTACTTCGGCCTTCCCTTTCTCCGACTCCCTTTCCAGTGCACGACGACGAGCCCGTTCTTCCTCTTCGGCCCGCAACTTCTCGTCCTCATTGTCCTTTTCGTTCTCGCTAATGAAAATAGGCTCTTCTTCCAATGCCTTTCAGACTCTTTCTCCTTTTGAAACTGTTCGTTGTGTCGCCGCACCCGAGTCTGAACGGCTACAGTCGGGGCACTCCTCTTCAGCACAGGCCTAGGTCGCATCGTGCTTATCATTGGCCCAATTTGTGATGTTTCTCTCGGAGCAGACGTCCCTGCTTGGCCAGACGCATCTTCCCTTTTATCACCCCATTCGCCCAAGAGAAAGACATTCGGCAATCCAGGTCAGACTTCCTCCATGTCCACATAACGTCGGATGATAGAGTCCCGGCATCGGGCAAGCCGCCTAGTGATGGTTTGCGCTTGTTCCACTACTTGTTCCCTGAATCCTTCTGGCTCCACCAGTGAGTCGTAGATCTGCAACGACGCCATGACCTCCTCGACCTCAGCCAACCGTGCTTCTTCAGGAGAAGCAATCCGGAACGTTGCCGGTAGCGGACGACCCATTCGGCGATACGCCTCCTTCGTCATACCCCCTTCAATGTTGGGTTAGATCGACTTCCCTTCGTAATCAAAGATTTCACCACGTATAGTGGTGAAGACTATCCCTTCCTTCTCATCTTTTGAAAGGAGTTGGCAAAACCGCATAATATGGTCCTTTTCTGCGCAATAGTTACATGTGGCTTCCTGCTGCCACGCCCAACGGCTTCGCTGTCCGTTTCCACGGCCTCGACCGCGGCCTCTTCCACCCTGCGGCTGAAACTGCCCTTGATCTTGGGAACTTTGTCCTGACGAACCAGTGTCAGCATTGCCACTCCCTCCTTGATTATTTTGTCCACCGTTCTTCCCCTGTTTACCAGAAGTCCCCTGTCTGCCTTGAATTTGATTCAAGACCTTCCTCTCCGCCTTTGTCAACTTGCGAGGCGGCTCCTTTTCTTCCTCGCTCTCAATGTCACTTTCTTCTTCCGCTGACTCTTTCCCCTTCCTCTTACTATTTTTCTTTTTGGCCAACATGACTTGAAGCTTCAGCCTTTCCTCCTTCATGTCCTCCATCATTTCTCTCATGCAAGTCAAAGTTTTGTAAATTTCACCGTCCTTTACTTCTCCCAGCTTCACCTTTTCCCGCTCCTCCTTTTGCTGCCTCAACAGCTGGTAGAGAATATCATCGAACTTCCCCACTAGCGCATTCTGCCGGACCTTAGTCCAGTCATACGTCCCTTGCATCCCTTCAACCAACTTCGACTGTTCGACGTCATTGAAGTTATTAAGGAAGATGAGGCAACGATCTTTGTCGGACAAATCCGGGATTAGGCGAGCCACACGCTCAAACTCCGACAATAATTGTTTGGTTGTACCAAACTTTTTACGATCCACCGCCCTCAAATCCTGCAGGTCGAGCAACCAGTCGCTGAGCTGATACTTCTTCAACAACTGCGCCTTAAAGTCTGACCAATCATGAGAGATTCGCACCAGCTCATCGATCTCGTCTCGCTACCCCACCTGGCAGTACCTTTTTACCATGCGAAGCATCTTCTCATCTGTCCATTCGTTGCTATATCCCAATTGCTCGAACTTGTCTGCCCAACAAGAGGCATGATTCCCGTCGAACAACGGAACATCAATCTTAGGGTAGGGCTCTCGCTGCGACTGCCGGATAACCCGTGTCAGTTCTTGAATGTCGTTCCTCCCATCGTCGTCGTTGTCGCGACGTCCTGCGGCAGCGGCCATCTAGGGACCAAAACATAAACCCAACAAACCAGTCTAGGAGTTTGGTAGCATCTATTAAGGTTCCTTCCTTACACTTATAGCGGTCCAGAGGTTACTAACCTTTTTTCTTAGACAACCATTACGGCACGATTTTTTACTTGCTCCACTCCCGAGTGTCGTTCCACCAGGGACAACGGTAGTTTGCCGTTATCCCCGGCAATGGCGCCACCTGTCGAGCGCATCGGCCCCCGCGTGAGCGAGGGCCCTCCCGGCCGCGTCACGCATGACAAACTAAGGCTTTCAACCTTTTAGAAACAACTCTGGGACGGCACGGTAACCCACGTTGACCCTTCGCCGCTCCGGCCGAGTGCGCCAGCTGTACATCCCACGGTCCCCTACGACAGGATAGGTTTCTGCGGGGCACAACTTACCTTCCCTAAGGGGCTGTCACCACCCTTAGGGGCGTATCCCTACCGAGCTACCGAYCCACATGCAAAGGCTTTTACAATGCAATTGCAGAGGTAGGTCGGCCGAGGGCGTTTGCTCGTTCGCTGTAGCATAGGTACGYGCAGTTGAACGYCAAGGTGAACCCGATCGTCRTCCGTCCYTGGGGCGCTGATCTCCCAKGAATCAGAACGTACGTCGGTCGACTAGKACGTGATAACCTAGGCRTAARAAAATCTCAATCAATCCTAGTCCCTTCTTTCGAAGACAATCAAAAGTTACAAAATACTCGTGTCAACRTAAGCTGAATTATTTTYTGAAATTGATAYAYTCATACATATCACTCGTCTAGGCTGTCACGACTTTTTCAACTTGATGAGGTGCGTTGCCAAGTTCTTTCATTCCACCKCATGCTGACTGCAAGCAAAGAAATGCGRACATCCCAAYCCTCAAGTAGAGTTAGGATYACAMTGTTCTAGCGATGACGTCAYTACCTTTCTAACTTTGGTGTGAATGTCATTTGCAAGTAGTCCGGMTACCACTATACGAGTSAGTACTTGACTTGAATGACCGAAYGTTGAATSCCTCATTAAGGTCAAGGATCCATTTTCAAATTTTGTTGGTCGCTTTGTCCTCCTGARCAATGATTAYTTTTTCTGTTTCACGAGTGATGAAATACCAGTCCGCGATATAAAGATATTCAAGGCAATGCTTTAGTTACATTCTTTTGTCAACTARCCTGATTACCCCAGGTTTGCACTTCTTAYGGTGCAACCCTATCCACGAGGGTAGTGCCCACACRCACTTCGTCCATAGCTAGTGAAAGCACGAACTGGGCTCCTTATGGCACCAGTTCTCCATTCGTCCGTGRCTCCTAAAACGACCACTAGAAGGGTAAACTATASTGGTYCTTCTTAAMGTGAGTCGTYAAGAACTTAACGCCTTCTGTGARTARCACACGTCCATCCCCTAGGAGGTGGTCTGSGATASCCCTCGTCCTCGCCCGGGCGRACCYYGGATCTTAGAARTCGGGCTGRCTCCACMASGACAGCATGGTATCCCCCCGCCCAAGCGGTCCACTCCGAGTCGCTAASAGGGTCGGCCCCTAAGGCAACGAACCCCCGCCTCAGATGCCTCMTAGGGAAAGGAAATGCACTTACCACAGCGAATGGTCAACCCTTTATCGCCTAACGTCAAGGGCGARCCTAGACGAAGAAAGRGATCATAGAGAAGAAAAACATTCAGATGGAAGGGCATAGACGAGGAGGGTCATTCGGGAAAGAATGGGCAACCCCAGGGAAAAATCTATGTCCTATTCACTTCTTCCCCTTTGTGTGATYGCTCCGTTTCTCGTCGTCTGCTGTCTTCCCATCCTCTCAACATGCATGCAAGCGAAAAATAGAAGACAARCATTCTTCCATTCACTTCYATTGACACGAATAGGTTCCTCTTTTTCAGACATCCCTCTACCTACCTGYACGTGAGACCAAACAACAAGTTCAAGAGAAAACMATGCAATCCCAAACTCATKTCAGACTTTCAGTCACACGTRCAAACAAACACAACTTCCCCTACCTTTCCAGTGAACATTCAAAGAACAGGGTCAAGYAAGTGTGGGTTCACACAGGTGTGAAGGGGTCTGAGTCAAACAACTGACCTTGAGTGAAGTTGAAGCGGCTCACTCAAGAAAGCCTAATATTTTTGTCAAAAGACTGATCACACAACTCACGTAGTGGCCTGCTCACAAAAATAAACCATGCTCCTCTTCAAGTGCTACCACTGACCTAGGCGCCGCTTATCAAGACAAAGCAAGTTTGCCGTCGAGAAGAGTACCCCCACTCTCAAGTCTCACACGACCTCACTATAGTCTCAACGGCATACCTCCTACAAAGAACAGCGTCGGCTCAATCTTCACTCCAACCCCCACCGATTGCCAAGTCAGATCACCGCACTCCTCCACAATACTCATTTCCCGTCTCACTCCTCACTCACTTGGTCCCAGAATGGTCCCAGATAGTCCCACACCATCGCCGCAATACTTGGTGGTCCCAACTCAAACCCCTCTTGCCCAACGTGCTGTAAAAAAATTGGTCTCGACCAGCCTTTCAGGTGCCGCATGCAATTGGCAGCGTTTCCGTATAACCGTCGTCGACCCCAATGCTGCCGCCGCAAAATTTTGGCAGCGCTTCCGCACTACCGCTAATAAAAGCACCGCCGTTGCCGTGCCAAGCGGACAACACCTCTTCTACAAACTTCAATGATGGATGCCGCCGCCAAAAAAGCCATGCAGCATCTCCCCTACACCGCCAGCCGAACCCCTGCCGCCGCCAAGCAGAGTTTCCCCCTGCACCGCTTGCACCAAGGTGGTGGCTATGGCAGCCTCCACCTCCGCCAGTAGCAGCTCCTCTCCACCAGCAGCTCCAGCACCTCCACCAGCAGCACCGCCCCACAGCAACAGCCAGCCTGCATTCACTCGAGTGAATGCCTCAGCATCATTGCCACAACTTGTGAGGCTGCTGGGTGGACTGCTGGCTTTAATAGCCAGCCGAGAACATGTGGGCAGCTGCTTTGCCCACAGCCAGAACTCGGAATGAGGCCTGGCCCTTGATCTAAAACGCGATCAAGGGTTGCAAAACTCGATGTTCCCCTAGGGTAACCAAGTTCAAGCCACAGGGAATGCATCTGGCCATCACCCGCGGCCAGACATACCATAGAAATGGCCGTACTCAACCATTTCTGAGCAGACTGTTGAAACCAACAGTCTGCTGCCCTATCAAAGTCCAGATGCTTCTGGACCTTGCACCTGGACAGAGACCGCGGCCAAATCCGCGGCCCCTTTTTTTTTTTTTCCAACCTCCTCTTCTTTTTCTTGTCTTTTTCTCTTTTTTCCCTCCTTTTTTTTTTTTTTTTTTTTCCTCTCTAAGGCAGGGGCTCGTCGTTCGAAAACGAACGAGCACTTCCCCCCCCTTCAAAGTCATTTCACAGAGTCGTACTAGAGTCAAGCTCAATAGGGCCTCCTTTCCCTATTGCCCCCGCGCGCCCGTACCCGGACGCCTACAGCGCCAGGTGCAGGCGGCGGTCTGCAGCCCGTTGCTCAGCCAACGGGCGCAGGTAAGTGTGTCTCTCTCTCTCTCTCTCTCTCTCTCTCTCTCTCTCTCAACGTATAGGTCCACCTTCTAGGGTGGATTCATTCCCCCACCCAGACTGTTGAGGTCCAGCCTCCTGATGAGTTGGTGGGAATCCAACGAAACAGTTTGGCACAGTCACACCCGTTTGTCCAAGACGAACGGGCACTCAGAGCACCAACAGAACAACAAAAAGAAAAAAGAAAAATAAAATGTAAACAAAATCTAAGAAGAAAATCTAAGGAAAAAAAATATAAAACGGAATCTCTAAAAAAAAAAAGGAAAAACCCTTACCTCTGAGAAAAACGGTCGCCCGTTTCCACGGACGACTGTCTGATGCGTTGGGGCTAAGAGCCCCAGTCACTTTGAAGTGCGCCAGGTGGCGCCATACTTAGGATTTTTTTTTTTTTTTTTTTTTTTTTGCTTTTTTAAAAAAAAAAAAAAAATGAACCATTTTTCGATTTATGCGTGTCATCCTCACGCAGGGGCCACTTTGATCCGCGCGCGGCAGATCTCAGCCGCCCGATCTTGAGGATCGCGCGTCCGAGATCGGCCGCGCCCAACTGCTTTGGGCTGCTCCAAAAGGAGCTTTACCCAGTAGCCTAGCATGTCAGATTCGTTCCCGGTATCTGCCGGGTGAGAGTTCGGTATGTTAACCTACTGGGCTAGCTCCTATCACGACAGTGATAGGAGCTGCTCTCCTATAAGAAGAGCTTGGCCCAACCAATGTCCCCTCGTTCCGCGGCCTTGCAGGCCCGACCTGCCTGCCTGTCTGTGGCCCTGCCGGCCCCGCCAACTCACGGCCCTGCACGCCCAGTTGGTCGCGTGACCTTGGCATCGGCCTATTAACCCTCTGGCTCGACGTCAAGCCCCGCGGCCCTAGAATTAAACTCTCCTTCCTATTCCCCCTGCGTCGCGGCTTTACACCCGGCGACATTATTTTAGGTAGACTAGGTCTAACTTTAGTTTTTCCATGCCCGCACACTACTGCGGCTTCGTCGAGAACTGCGGACGACAGTGCGTACCTCCAACCCCCGCTGTCTCGAACGGACGTCGAAGACGTCACACGTCAGCGACGTCTTACGTCGACAACGTCAGGCTTTAAGTCTTTCAGTTATAAGGCTGGCCTGAATAAACTTTGGCAACGTCAGTCTCATCATATTCCTCAACGACAAAAGTCGGACAGTGTCTGACCGTGAAAAACTCGGGCGGAAACCCTCACAGGCGTTTCTGTCCCGACACCGCGCCCTCAAGAAGGCGATGACATGTGCACCGATTCTTCACCTACGTGATTTTGATTGCATTTTTGTCCTTACCACCGATGCATCAAACTTTAATGTAGGAGCAGTGCTTTCTCTGATTTTTCCCTCCTCTCCTGATTTCTTTCATCCTTGCATCCCTTGCATCCCACCTCCTATCCCTACCACTGCTTCCCTCCTGACGCCTACTCGTCCAACTACTGACGAACCTTCTATTGACTATTTTCTTACCATCGCCGAGGAC